TAATGGATACCAATAAATAATATTATGTAATGGATACCAATAAATAATATTATGTAATGGATACCAATAAATAATATTATGTAACGGATACCAATAAATAATATTATGTAATGGATACCAATAAATAATATTATGTAATGGATACCAATAAACAATATTACGTAATGGATACCAATAGATAATATTATGTAATGGATATCAATAAATAATATTCATTCACAGTTATGATTTTCACTTGACAATAACTATAAGGCAATATGAAAAAAAAGCCAAACCAGTTAAACTGAGTCATTTGGTGACCTCATGCCGTACTTTTCTTGGGGTGTTATATAACTTTAAAACATTTGACAGGATACTGGTAATTTAAGGTATCGTGGATATTTTAATGTTATTAGCCTACAGTGTTTCTTGTATATCCGGAAAACTAATACACCAAGTAAAATTATTTTTTTAATTAATACAGACCCATTACATCAACATCTCATATCCTGTGTCTTATTAAGTTGTTCAACTGTGTTTTAATACTTCCTAATAGTGGCCCGGCATAGCCAGGTGGTTAGGGCAGTCGACTCGCAATCTGTGGGTCGCTGGTTCGAATCGCCGTCAAACCAAACATGCTCGCTCTTTCAGCTGTTGGGGCATTATAATGTGATGGTCAATCCCACTATTCGTTGGTAAAAGAGTAGCCCAAGAGTTGGCGGTGAGTGGTGATGACTAGCTGCCATCCCTCTAGTCTTACACTGCTAAATTAGGGACGGCTGGCACGGATAGTCCTCTTGTAGCTTTGTGCGAAATTCAAAAAACAAACAAACAAACAAAATTTGCTAATACATTACCTGGGAGACCAATAAAATCAGACACTGGTTTTCCAGATAAAGCTTTCCAAAACTGAATAGATGCTAATGGTAAAAGTGACCACAGCCTCACTGTCGAGTCTCGAGAGGTCGAAGCAAGCAAAAATGGACGACTTGGATGACAGGACAGACCTGAATATAAGAAAGATATCATAAAGCGAGTTAACACGCCACACATGGCTATCTTGTTTCATAGCATCATCTAGAAATTTAAAATAAATAAAATGTTTAAGTTTAAATTGTAAAATGAAGAATTTATCTCAGTTCAAAAACTAACTACCAAACTATAAGCATATTTATAAAGCTATAAAAGTTACATCACTGCTAAATACAAACTGAACATCACATTTTAGTCAAAATTACTTACGATAGATTTAAAATAACTTGAAGTAAGTTCCTTCCAGGACTGAGGCTTACTGTATAACCATTACAGCAGCTCAATAAGTCACAAAGCCAATTACAACCTAATTTATCCTTGCAAGTTTTTAATAGGCATGATTATGTAATAACACAGTAACTATGAGTAATGGTGTAACTGTGTCTCAAAAGTCCTGGTTTCTTTGTTTGTTTCGAATTTCGCACATTCACAATTTTACTACTGATCCCCTAAATCACTGACTGGGGAGTTTCAACATTCACAACTTTACAATATGTAATACAATAGGAACCAGTGAGTCATTTAATACAATAGGAGTCAGTGAGTCATGTAATACAATAGGAGACAGTGAGTCATGTAATACAATAGGAGTCAGTGAGTCATGTAATACAATAGGAGACAGTGAGTCATGTAATACAATAGGAGTCAGTGACTCATGTAATACAATAGGAGCCAGTGAATCATGTAATACAATAGGAATCAGTGAATCATGTAATACAATAGGAACCAGCAGTCATGTAATACAATAGGAGCC